GTAATACAATCGTTACACAACATATTTTCCTCATTTACCAGCCCACTAGTATCCATAGGGATCCATAGGGGTCCCGCTACCCGTTAACCCTTAACACTTGAAATCGTATTCCATGGCCGTCCCCATACCCCGTCCGGTATGGACGCCAAAACTATAAACCTCATTACCCAGTCTGGTATGAGGGTGAAACGGGCCGTCTCCATACCCCGTCCGGTATGGGCGCCAAAACACATAGGATATCTAGTCAGGCTGAGCACATTATACAATTACCCATTTACATAATCTTTCATTCTCCTTTCCCTCAGTCAGCATTATCAATCCACATACAAACAAGTAAAACGGTAATTTATGCCAAACAGACAACATACAGCATCAATACCCCAGTCATTCAATCCATAATCAGTAAAACAGTAAAATAAGCACACGAAACTGTAAAATGAAAACATCAAACCTCATACTGCATTTAAAACTATAAAACAGGCCAAATAACAGTTAACCGACAAACACACTAGACTCGGGCTCCATTAGCGACCTTAAGCAATTTCACACATTCGTTGATTCATGGAATACCGTTTTATCATTTATTGAACTTTAATACCGTGATAGGAGATAGGGTGAGGGGTCTTTACTCGTTTCGGGGTCCGAACACGGCTTCATAGTGCGCCTACAAGCTGTCCCTAATTTTCCCTGAATTTTTTTCGGGGAACTGAAACGCACTACTGGTACCTGCACGTGTTCCAAAAAATCCCAAATTAGGCCCAGGGCCCTTTTCGGCCAATATCGCAATTCCGGCACGGCGGCTCCGCCGTGCTCTGGCGACGGCGATTCGCCTCGGTTTGGCCGTTTTCAGCCGTTTCCGGTCAAATTCGGCCACACTTGCATCAATCCTTGCGATTAAACAACTCTAGGGCCCTCGGGGGGCCAAAAAATTACGGAAAACTGAAGCTTACCGGCGGCGGTGCTCTCGGGTGCGGCGACTCTCCGGTGAAGTTCGTGTTTTGGTGATTCGGCTCCGATCAACCTGTAGAGAAAGATGGTGATCACGGTGATATAAAAATTGCATCACACGGAGCCGGGAGGGCCTCATCAGAGGCAAAAACCGAGGAGGGACGCGGCGGCGCCGCTGAGTTTCGGCCGTTTGGCCGGGATTTTGGCTCCGATTTGGCCACAGGGGAAATCAGCGTGGAAAAACGAGTCGAAGGTATGAAATTTACCTCGATCGGCAGTCGAAAATCCCTCCGGTGCGGCGACGGGTGGCGGCGGCCGGCTTTTGGTTCGTCTTCTCCGGCGAGGGCAGGCGGCTAGGGTTTTGTGGTCTGGTGTAGGGGTCTTATTTATACCCTTTTGCCTTTTGATCTCAGCCGTCCATTTTGATTTAATCTGGGCCGTCCGTTTTTTATTGAATCTGGGTCGTCCGTGCGATTGCATCTGAGCCGTCCGATCGCACGTTTGATCTGGGCCGTCCGATCGCGCATACGCGGATCGCCAACGTGGCCCGTCTCGGATCGACGTGGTCTTGCCACGTGGCAGGTCCCGATTGGCCGGGACTGCTGACTAGGTATGCTGACGTGGCTGCTGACGTGGCCCTTTTCTTTTTTTTTTTTTTTTAATAGGTGCAACACAAGGACTTCCCAATAGGTCACCCATCCGAGTACTACTCTCGCCCAAGCACACTTAACTGCGGAGTTCTGATGGGATCCGGTGCATTAGTGCTAGGGCCGTCCGATCGCACATACGCGGATCGCCAACGTGGCCCGTCCCGGATCGACGTGGTCTGCTGACGTGGCCCTTTTCTTCTTTTTTTTTTTTTTTTTCTTCTTCAATTTCCCGGGCGCTACAATCTAAATATATAATAAATAAATAATTAAAAATACATATATTATATTGAATAATGTGATATGGTTAAAATTAAAATACTTGAATCCATTCAATATTTTATTCAAATTTTTTAATTCTTAACTTAACTCTTGCACTTTAAATCTGCCTTTCAAGATTAATTTAGAGGAGGCTTCATCCCTCCCACCTCAAGAGTTCATATCTGAATGAAAATAGGTGTGGTTGAAAAGGAGTTTTACAAAACTCAAATCCAATGTGAACATATATTAAAGAAATTTGAACTCGGCTTGGATCCAATAGAGTTTATAAAATTTGCATTTATTCACACCATTGCGAATGCTGGGTTAAACCTATCCAACAAGGTTATAAGATTTCTTTATTAAATTTTTAAGTAAGATTTTTTAGTTATTATGCAAACTTTTTATTAAAGATTGACTGTAAAAACACACACCAAGAATCTTGAGAGAGATTGAATAAAAAGAACTGATAGGGACTAATAAAAATGTTGAAAAATCATTCGACAAAAATTGACAAAGTAAAAGACTTGTAAGTAATGATTATAAAGTAGTCTACACGTAAGATTATTGCTCAACTAATTTAAAGCTAAAAATATTAAAGTACAAAAAATAATACATGGGTTTAATCTTAGTAAAATAATAGTAATTTTCAAAAAGAAGGGAAACTTGGTAATCAGAAGCTACACTTATCTTCACCAAACTTCCCATATA